TCATGTGGCTCTTCTACAGGGCTAATAAAATGAACATTCCACAGCATACAAAGAGGATGGAGCCTTAAGCTGGCGGCTCCCTGGGGTCGCAGTGCAAGACCCACAGGCACAAAAGTTTGTAACAACTGGGTAGCAGCAGCTCTAGTTCTTTCCCCACTAGGGAAAAGGTTTTGGGGTCTGATTTGACGGAGGAGGCTCCCTTATCTCTGCAGTGAGCCCACGAACGTAGGGAGAGAATTGTGAATTCTTTAAAATAAAACATCCACTTGGTCTAGTAACACCCATAGTTAAAGATCTACAGCTGTCATTGAGTGCACCAGGCTCCATGCGCGGCCTGGAGCAGCGGGCAAAGCTCTTCAAAATTCGGTCCTGGCTAGAAGTAATACAAAAACTGGGTCCTGGAATCCATACTAGAGAAAAGTACCCGCTGCTTTGGAATAGACTGCTTCACGGAGGGCACTGGTGGCATTTGTTGGTTTGGGGATGATTTATTCGCTCCTGCTGTAAAATCTAAAATGATTGTCTTGGGAAGACAAAGAAACTACTTACTGACCTTGGTGTGATCCACTACCGGCCTGCCCTGCTGCCCAGCGCTCTGCCTTGAGGGCGTCTTAAGAAAGGTCACCAGTGCAGAGCAAAGGCTAAGAGTAGCATGCTACAGGGTATTGGGAAGGGTTTCGTGGAGTTTGAAATGCGGACAGCGATGCCTAGAGTTGCTTTTCTGGATCCTCAAAAAGTCTTTGCTCAGCCTGGGTCCTTGGCTCCTACGGACCCAATTCCCTAACAACTTCAAACGCCAAGTTGTCCTGGGTCCCCAAACTTCGAAGTTACTGGATTGTCTTTTTATCTGAAAATTTTAAGTGGAGGCCACCAGGCTCTCAGCCCCTTGTGTGTAAAATAAGCAATTCACCGCCAGCCTTTGCATTAGGCTTAATGCTTTTGAGACTCCCTTGCTCCTGAATTTCATTCCTTGCTCCCATGAAGAGAGAGTTTTCCAGGCCATCCTTTTAAAGACTTGTTTCATTATCTCTATCTTGAATTAAGATCACTAAGGCCTGGGTTCAAATTCAGAGTACCAGCGCCGGGCATAAATCCCAGGGTGGTGCCGCGAAAGACACTTCTGGCGCCATAACTATTGCGAAATGAGACGCTGCAGGGAGAGAGGGAATTGATATTATTTTGATGAGGATTCCAACTGGGGAGCGCCCTAGAGAGAATGTCCCCCTCTCCTGGGCGTTGCTCTGGCGTAGAGGAATTGGGGAGCGGGGCCAGCCAGAGTGGAGTTGGTAGATCAGGAGGGTGATTGCTTGCCTGCCTTTACACCTCTCCCTTTGTGACAAATCGATTTCCTGCGCCCCTGTTCCACATTTGCATCCACCATCGCCCGGGACCCAGCTGTGCCCGGGTGCTCACTTAGCGCTGGCTGGTGAATGTGTGCGTGTGCGCGCGTGCGCGCGCGTGTCTAATTGACTTTCCGTCTACCTTTTTATGACTACATGTGTTTCCAACAAAAGGTCTTATTAGGACAATCTGGTTTCACTAATTTAGAGGTTGGGAATGTGGAAGGCAGGCGTGTTTTTTTTTTTTTTAAAGAGTTTGCAGAAGTTGAAATTAAGAAGTTGACAGCGGGATGAACTGTCCTCCCAAGAGTAGGTCTGCTTGTTTTTACGATTCCTTCCTCTCCCTCCCTACTTATCCCTGCTCTGCCCCCACCGGCATCCATACACCAAACGTTCCCCCACTACATTAGCCAGAGAGTAGATTTTCAACAGTGCTAAAGGAACCAAAAAGATTGAGAAAAATACACTGGGCTGGGAGAATCAATAATCAAAACAGTCCTTCCACAAACGGGAAAATGGAGCATCAGCCCAGACCCAGGGGAGGGGTCGGAGGACAGGATTGTTGACTTAGGGTAGAAAAGGCCAAAGAGCACTCTTCACTTTTTACTATAATTGACCAGGTTGAAACGCAAATTTTGCATAATTAAGAATCTAATGTTGAGTGCATCTGTAGAACCTACAAGCTAGTTTCTCCAGATAGGTAATTAGAGAGGCCAGATTTCCATACACCTGGCAAGCCAAAGCATCTGCTTGTTGTTCGCATCTCTTTGAGGAGTATTTTCCTTTCCTACCTGAGCACCTGATGCCTTGTGAACTTCTCCATCCCTATGACCTCTATTGTGACCCCTAAAGTCCTTATAGCCAGATCTCTGCAGTAGCTCCCATCTATCCCAGACTCCCCACTTCTCTGCCTGTAATCTAAGCTTTACTGTCTCCTACAAGCTGAAGAACCAGTGTCACCCCACAGATCTTGACTTCCAAGTAGACCACAACTTCCTCTGCATTCTACCCAAAGCCCAAGAATAAGAATGGGGCTGCTTGTCTGACCAGACTAGAGGGTCCTGTTATCACCCCCCCCACACACACACCCCATGGAGAAGAAGAAGGTTGAGAAAACTTTGCTTCTAAAAGCAACAGTTTCTTAGTACAGCCCTGTCTGTGGGTCATATCCCAGCGAAGGCAAAGTCAGCCCTGGCCTGTATGTCTATGTGTTATGTTTCCCTGAATTCTTTCTCAGTCCTAGGTGCTGATCACTTATACCCACTACTTTACTCTGCATTGTGTTGACTAGCGACTGTCCTGTTTGGTGCATCCTTTCCCCAGACTAGCCTTAAGAGGCTAGGTTTCTTCTCTGGGTCCTCTCTCCATCCACTTCTCTATTCACTACAAGTATGAGGTGAGGCTGAGTTCGATGCAGGCAGATTTATGGGGTCCTGTTTCTTTCTCTGGGGACAAAAGTCCCCCAGCTCAGGTAGAAACCTTAAGCTTGTCCAGGGGATTCATATGCATACTGTGACCTTGGTGGTGCTAGTCTCATAAAAACTACTCCACAGTTTCAACCATCTTCAGTACAGCCCCTCCAAATCAGCTCCACAATGGCTTCCTTAGCCTGGCTTTTCTATATGCCCACTATGAGACCATGACAATCCTCCAGCTCCGTTCTTCTATGGTCTCCTCAAAGAAGTAAACAAAACAAAAGCAGTGCTTTCTGTTCTCTTCCAGCCTCACAGTTTCTGATGCTGACTGCCACTTTGAGGCTCTCACTTTCTGAGGCCAGCCTTGGTCCTGTTTTTCCTATGCTCTAGCCTTCTCTTGGAGCAAAGCAATACTACCCCCTCTCTCCTGCCCACCTTGGTCTTCTACACATCTGTTTCTATAAAGCTTGTTTTCTGTTGGGGTAGTGTGTATGTGTGTAGTGGTGTGAGGTCCCAACATCCAGTTCTTCCAACAGTGATAACTGTTGGGATCAATAATAAGTCATATGGAAACTTCTCTGACAGTCACAAAGCAGCTGCCGCTGGGGCTCCAGGTAGAACCTTCCTGTCTTTGTTTTATAATCTCCCTAGTGAAGGTTTTTAGATAATTGTAGAATTTCATAGTCCTTTTTTGTTAGAGCTTCAGATACTTCATTCTTGAGATGCTGGCGTGTATACCAGGATCAGCTTCCCCAAAACACTACAACAGAACAACTATAGCTCCAAGCCTAGTCCATACCCAGGGTTTGGGAACACTGATTCTTCCTGGGTGTGGTTTGGACTAATTTCTATAATTCAAATGTCTGCTTCAAACCTCTATATCCAGCTCTTGTGGCAGTCAGTGGGTCCAATCCAGAGTTAATTGTCCCTCAGGTTGCTGCCATCTGAACTAGTTCAATCCTAGCAGACTGCAGAATTTAAGGCTACAAAGCTAGGGGCCAGTGCCTTCAAGAATAGGGCTCTCCAGTGGCCTGCTTCAGTGAGCTTGGCACCCTACCACTGTGCCCAGGTACCATTTCCAGCTGTTTCTGATGCCAGTTTGCTTTGAATGCCTTTTTAAAATTATTATTTGGAAGTCTAAGATGGGTAATGTCTTGAGAGAATCATAGAATGTCTAAAGGCCTCCAAACGACAAAGAGGGACCAGCATATAAAGATAATTAAAGAGGGCATTTTAGAACTTTCTGCCTGGTCCAAACTCCTCAACCTCCAGGAGCAAAGAAAGTATCTGTGTGCATCTGACCAGAGGCCACTTGGCATGAACCAGGTGACAAGTGTATTACATTCTCAGAAACCATGACATATGCTCGCCGTCAGTCTTTTTTTAAGGGTGAAGTTAATAACTCCGAGATGAACATTTCATGGGGAGGAGGTCGACAATGAGTGAGGGTGGGTAAGGAAGCTTGTACATAGACATTTCTGGAGGTCTAGGGGCCAATAGGCCGAGCTGCACAAGGACTTGGGCCTGCAACCCGCAATCCCAGGTACACTTACGGTACTAGATGAAGCTGGGCAGAATTTTGGATTTTGCAACTAAAAAACATTCTAGCCTCATCAAGGTTTGCTCTAATGCATGGGCTTTTAGCTCCGTCTCAAAACCGATTCTCAGGTAGAATTGACATCAGGGGTCAGAGAGCAAGCCTAGGCAACTAGAACTGGGCATTCCCGCACTGCCCTCGGCCTTTTCCAGGCCTGGGTCACAAGCACCGGGGTGTGCAACTTGAGCGGCTTCTACCAGATAGATTCCCTTGAGCACAGGGCTTTCTCCTCAACCCCTCGGAAGAAGCACTCCCAGGCCCACCCAGCATCTCTGTCTGCTGTTTTCTCTATCGGAGGTGGCTGTGCAGTCTGCGCTCTGGCCAGACCGCTCCTACCCCAGCGCTGACGCTCAGCCTGCGGGATTTCTGGCCGCCGCTCTCACCCGAAACCGAGATGCAGCCGAGGCTGCTGGAGACAGTCCTGGCCAAAGCTGGGCCTCCCGGTCTGTCTCCAGCGTCTGCTTGGCTTACACCCTTGGAGGGTACCTCTTTTTCTCACCCGACTTTATGCCACCAGCACTTTTCCCAGGACTCGTAACTTCCTCACCTTCACCTCTTCCAGAAACCTAAGCCTAGAACAAGCTCGCAGTCACCATTCCCGGGGCCCCACCCGCCGTCCCCTTCCCGGAGCACGCGCCCCTCACTCACTGTCCTGCTGAGGGGTGTCGCTGCCACTGGTCAGTCCTGGTGACTCCAGCAGGCTCCGGCCCGTCTCGCCCACACTTTCGTCCGCCTGTGCCGCCACCATGTCCCCGGCCTCCTCCAGGTCTAGCAGGTGACTGACGGAGAAGTTCTTTTTCGCCTGCAGGGTGTCGAGGTTGCCCGGGCTGTCCAAGCGGCCGCCCAGCG